CGAAGAGGAAGAGTAGTAGCAGGAGTCCTGCTTGTTTTCTTCTTCGTCGTCGTTTTCGCCGTAGAGCTACTAGTAACTAGTAGCGATGCTGATGCTAGTGGTAGTAGCCACTGTAGGCGTCGTGTTGTCATCCTCGTAACCCTCGTAGCAGCACTCATTGCGTTCAGCCACGTTAGTTGCAGGCCACGACTGCTGGGACGTGCTGCAGCCCGTTGCTCTTGTATAAGTCCAGGCCCCGGCCAGGCGTCTAGGTTTACAGCGTTTTGAGTTAGGCTTGACGTGCTTTCTCAACTAGAGATTCAGATTCCTGGAGTTGCGAGCTTCATCGGAGACCAGTCCATGACATTTCATGAGCGAGAGTCAAGCTTTGGAGTATCTTCGGCTGCGGCAGCTGCTTAGTGCACGCTCCGGTTGCTCGTTTTGGTGAAGAATCCTAAGAAGCTTGTATGGCGAGTATGGGGCGATGTTCTGAGTGAGGTTTTGACCAAAATGAACTGGCTCCTTAAATGCTAGCAAGCGACATGTCAACGACATCGAGGTACGGAATACAAGACTGTGGAAAGGCACTAGTAGACAATTGCATTCTCGTTCTGACCGAATCAGAGTCGCGAGAACAGCATCTTACAACAGTATTGTACCACAGAACAGGGTTCTTGTCACTGTAAAACAAACGAGTCACTGTTTAGAGCCCTGGGTAGTACGGCGTACGAGGGGTAACTACCGTCCATCGAACATAATGTGAGCAACTGACTAATTTCCCGGTAGCAGCGTCAACAACACCTACATCCATGCTTATCGCGACTGTCATAGCAGATGCCACACAACAACGGATTATGGTTAACTTCACCAGATACAGAACTGTAGAGGAGTCATATTGCCGACTTTTATGACGGACACCATGGTTGATAGCATCGCCTACGTTGCAGAAGAAGTGCCAAAGAAACAGAGCTGGGAGCCTCTCCCATGGCCTTGTACAGCGATGCACGCAGTCAGGCATGCTGCAGAATCCTGCCAACGAAAAGCCGTCTGCTTAAAGAAATGAAGAGTATGTAAATAGAATTGACATTGAGCAAACAAGAATGTACAACAACCTTGAATAGCCGCACCAAGCACATCCAAACTTCTATTCATGGAATGGTCGCAGAGTTTCGCAGATCTAGTTAGTCTAGATGTTATGTAAGTAATGGTCGTGGAGTTGGTCAGAACGAGAATGAGAAGGAGGAGACGGCGAGGAGCACTTGCAATCAGACTCACGACGGTGGTGATGGTAGTGAAGCTGTTGCCACTGCGGTGGCGGTGTCAAGTTACAGAATTCAGCAGATATGATTATGTTCATGTTAAGATCCTGGAGCTTGAACACAGGTTGAGTCTGACTCAGGTACTTGCAATGCCTGCCAAACGACGGACGCGGTCGTACAGGTGAGTTGCTGCTTACCTTGGGCATGCGGGTGATCCTTCAAAGAGTTCTCAGCCTGAACATCTTGACAGCATCCAAATCACCAGCCCTGAACAGGAAACCCTAAACCCCTAAAGCCCTAAACCCGAAAGCTGCAGCCAAAAGCCGAACACCAAGTAAGAGACCACGAGTTAACCCAGGAACTCACCCGGGCCTTAACCTTGGACACAGGAAGGGGAGAGTGGAGCCCAAACCCTACAAAACCGTATACGCTCCACAAGCCTGTAAGCCCTATAAACCCTTTACGCACTAAACCCTACCTCCGGTCCTGAATTTTTCAAGTTGGCTCTCGGCTTCGGGCTCCGGTAGCGGCGGTCCTTCGGCCTTGGATTCATATCGTTGAAAACGTGTCAGTGACTAGTAAAAAGCTAGTAATTACATTCCGTAGTGTCCCTAATGTAGTTCTTGTATATTGCAGACCCTTTTCGAAGTATTGGAGGTGCCTATGTATTGAGACAGCAGATTTTACGTATGACTAACATGTTTCTCTAGTACATCCATACATGGACAGCGATAGCATTACCCATCCCGAAGAGAAGCTTGTTCTAGTCTTCCTGGCCCTGATCGTGAGCTGCGGGGTCCGGTGCTGATCCTTAGTCCTACTTGATTCCTCGTTGAAAACCAGAAGCTTTCATACCGAGAAGCCCTCACCAGTACCTGAGATTGAACTTACCTATAGTCTCCATTGTAGTTCCTTTTTGGGGATACCTTATAAAGTCCTTAATATATAATTGGTTAAACCAAAAAAGGAACTACAATGGAGACTATAGGTATTATCTGGGGAAGATCTGCATCTGCCCAGGCGACCGTGCAGAGCGTCTTGCTTGCCATCTTCTGATGCATGCGTATCAGGGGTCAAGCAACCCAACGTGCCGAGACATCATCATAGGGGGTAGAAGACCCACAGCCATAAAACAAGACTAATCCAGTGTAAACTGGAGCTAAGCGCACGGACTGGATTTACAGCTTGTTCTAATTGTTTTAAGTTTCCCTGCATATGAGCATCGCCAGGAGCCGGCCGGAACATGGGAACCCGTTAAAGTCTCGAGCTTCGATCCGAATTCGCTAACTAGCAACCCTTAACTTTAAGCCATTACAGCAAGCTTCAAGCCTGGGTCGCGGTGAGAGAGCACCTCACCAAAGCCCCACAGCTCCAATATAGAACCCTAAATAACTACCAATACTACTGCTAGGATTCCTGATTATAATATAGTATAATATACCCCCAAAACCCTATTCTGATTATTAAGGCCCCTACATTACATGTGTTAAGTAGGCGTAACACCATACGGGACGCTTGCCACCTCCCACTGAGCACCAAGTTAGACCGGGATCTCTTGGCCAGAGATGTCGGAGAGCCCGCGATGCTGGTGCCATCCGTGGAGAGTCGAAGCACACGGTTTAGAGTTTAGGGTTTAGGGTTTAGGGTTTAGGAGAGGGCTTGTAGGTTTTAGGAAGTGCGAATCTGTCGTATTCAACTTCGATAATCCCTGGTGAATGATGTCGTACATACACTTTTTAGGGCTCAAGGTTTTTGGGCACTTTACGGCTTCTATACGGGGGATCCACAAGGATTCATATTAAGCCTGGCTTTTTCAGGGCTAGCTCATGTACATGCCTTGGGCCTTGGGGGCTTAGTTTCGCACAGCGACACTCGCAAGAGCATGTTGTCAAGAAGGGAAGCCAGTCAGACCCCCCCCGCCTTTATAGGGGTCTTAAAAATTACCAATACTATTTTGGGGATTCCTTATTATACTTATAGTATAATATGCCCCAGAACCCTATTCTAATTATGAAGGCCCCTACATTACCCAAACATGCATTTCAAGATGGGACCCAAACTCCTCAGCACCTGAACCCGAAGCCCTGAGCCCTTAAGTCCTAACGGGCAAGAAGAGTACAGTTCAAGGTCCTGGTCTCAATATAGGCGCCTGCACAATTCTGCGAGATTACTAAGGCCCCAAAATTAAGCCTTCTTATGGTGACGGCGGCAAGATAGTTCCAGAACCAACGGAAGCACATCCTCTATGCCTGAAGTCTTAATAAGTTTGAGAAGCCCCAGAAATGTCTTTCAACAGGGTTTATGGCAGTTTAGGGTTTGGGACTTATGGTTTAGGGTTCGTTGTACATCTTTGACCCTTGCCCCTGTCGTCGAATCCTGAAGCATGGGGTCTAGCCTAGTTGCTTTCTCGGGTGCGCACCGGAAGTTGGCAGTCTTCAGATGTTTCTCGTCGCGACGGCAACATGACCCACTGAGCCCGTGATGTTCTAGTCCTAGTTTGCTGCCACAAGCAGGATCCCGATAATGGTTGCCGTGTCTGCTGTGATCAGTGTCTTGTGGTTGGAAGTGCTCGCGCTGGTGACCTCTTTATCATGTTGCTTCAACCCTTTTCTGCGTCGTTTTGCCACGCTTGTCTCTTGAAATCCTGTACTTCCCGTTAGTTGAATCGTTTGGTATCATGTGGGTAGTTGTCAAAATTATGGTCCCTTTTGAAAGTACCCTAAATAATAGGTGCCGTATTATAATAAGGACCCAAAAAGGGACCATAATTTTGACAACCACCCATGTACATAAACGGGCCAGATAATAGGCCGAGGCTTGCTTTGCAGATGTCGAAGGACAAGCAGAGTATAAGGCTGCTACGTTGCAAATGGTAGAGTAAGGCTCGAAGTGGGACGCCGCGATGCGGTCAACGTTGTGTGTCACCGCTCGTTTTTTGGACATCATTCAGCCAGTTGTTCATCCCGGAGCACATTCACGGAGTAGTTGAGTGGATCCAGCAGCTATAAGGAGCCTCCAGTAGTTCAAAACGCCAGCGCCAGAGTGGTAAGCCCCGAAGCATCAAGAGCCGCGGCAACGAAGCTGACGGCATCCCTCCACTCGACATCACTCGACCATTCGATTTTCGTTCAAGTGCCTGAGTCACCGGTGATCTGGTGAGGCCCTTTCCGGTTTACTGCTTGGAAGGCTCTGCGGCAAGCGGTCTGGGGTATTGTTTTCGGAGAAAGCTAGGCTTTCCCTTTTGACATGGGTTCATGCGGTTCAGAATCAGGAGGCAATCCCTTTCGCCACATGTAGAGTCATCACGCTTGTATCTGTGATTTCTCAATAGTAAACCCGAAAGAGCGTACTAGCCTGAGCCATAAAGCTCCTGAATACTTCAGCCTCAGCCACGAAGTTCCTAAAGACTTTCACCTGAGCATAAAGTTCCTGAGTCCTCAGCGCATCTTGCATGTCGATAACTACACGCTCTATTTAAATTTCTCCTCGGGTTTATGAATTTGTACCTGAGCTGTGGATTATGATTTAGAGCTTAGAGCTTGGAGTGTGCAATCGGGGAGAGTTCCCGGGCTTGGCTGTGCCTGCTGGGGGCCTTCCGCATTATTTCGCTCTGGGATGAGCGAAGCATTGGTGCGATAAGAAAGTGGGTCTCGCGTCAGGGGCATCGGACTGTGCATCAGGGTTAACATGCCAGCCATTGTTACACCGTGCTTATGTTGGGAGATATAGAGCCACTTCTGAGCCTGTCCCGCGCACTGTTAAACTGTTAAATGAGCCGTCGCCATACAAGTAGCATAGTGGCGTACGTATTCTGAACATTGCGTTCTTTCCAACCAGCACTCTCTGCACTCTGCATGCCTAGGTTTCGTCTTAGCGATCGACGTCTCAAAACCGTACAGTAGAGCATTGTACTGCAACTGAGCCGGCCACCCCGTGCCCCGCGGACAAGAGATGCCATGCACTTATGCTTCCCGTCCAGCAAAGTGCTCACATAGGATGGGCACTTTCCGGTTGGTTGCAGTCGCCATCAAGAGCGCAAGTCTACCAGCCGGACACCAGAAGGCTTCTCAAGTCAAGAGGGTTCCCATGACTCTACCTTAAGAACCCAAAACTCACTTTTTGTAGGTTCTTATCATAAACCTTAATATGGGACTTATAGGGACCCTACAAAAAGTAGGTTTGGGGTTCTTAAGGTATTCCTGCAGGTGCAGAACCGTTCGAGCCGTTTGAGCTGCTGCTTCCCTTAGTAAAGGGAACAGCCGTCATGGGACCATGTGGTTGTAGATGAACTGAAAGGTGGGTTTGTGTGGTAATCTAGTTTGGCCGCAGAAATGCACACCCAAAGTCTCGGTGCTGGCCTTCCGTTCCCCTAAGGGTCCATGTACCCAAATAGTAGAACATTGGCCTTAATGTAGTCCCTATATGGGTACTTTAGGGCCACTGTTCTACTATTTGGGTACATAGACCCTTAGGGTTCGTACTTGTAAAGGGGGGTATGTGGGACGCGCAGCAGAGCAGCAGCCAGCAGCTGGCACCAGGCACCAGCTCCTGGCCTAAGCACTTGCACCGCAAGTTAACCCTAACCCCCCAGGTACCTATAGGGTTTAGGGTTTAGGGTTTAGGAACCCTAAACCCTAAACCCTAAACCCTATATAGGGCCCTAGGGGCTCCAGTACCCTATATAGTAGGTACCTGGGGGGTTAGGGTAACACATTGAGCTTCAATTCCGAATCCTTGCGCCCCGCACTTGGCCAGTGGCCCCGCCTCGTCAGGCTCACGTACCGAGGGCCGAACAAGCTTCCCCACGATGCCCCAAGATGTCGTTTCTATCGTTTTTCCAAACACCCAAAGTATCGATCCCAACAACAAGCCCTGCCTTGAGATGGCTTCGTTAGAGGTGCTGGAAGGCACTGCGCACAATTAGCCTCGTCACCACGAACACTGGTGCTTCTCTGTGCAGCGAAGAAAATTGGCGGTCCTAGGAGATCTTCTCTAGGGCTCCATCAGGCTCTCAAGCTTGCCCAGGAGGTCTCGTATGTTGTGAGCTCTGCTGGCCACGAAATAGACTGCACGTTCGTCATTTGCTAGCAGTGTCAGACCCTTGTTCATCCGTATACCCGCATGTTTTAGTATAGTAGTGCTCCTCGCCCTTGTCCTGGTCGTAGTCCTAGTCCTGGTTCTTGTCCTTGCCCTTGCCCTCGTCCTCTTCGTTGTCCTTATCCTTGTCAATGTCCAGGGCCTCGTGCTTGTCCTTGTCCCTTTCCTTGTGCAGTAGTAGCGGTAGGGGTAGGAGTGAGGGGCAGTGGCAGCGGCATCGGCAGTCGTCGTCGTCGTCGTCGTCGTCGTCGTCGTCGGCATAGGTGTATTTCCAAGTGTGGTTGTGGTTGCACTTGTAGTTGTATAGCTATTGTGCCTGTACTTGTCTGTAGTACTTACTACATAGTTGTAGTTGTTGAATGGTTGCAAGTGGAGCTTGCCGACGGTCCTGCGGCCACGACTTCTTGCTGCCGTGAGCACTGGTACTGCCAAGATTTACACCCCTCATCACCCCTCGTCAGCTACACTCTTATCATTATTGCCGTTGCCTTCCTGGCTCACAGCGGATTTGGAGCTTTTCAGCTCTTGGGATCCGCGTTTTCATGCCCGGGCACAGGGGGGAAAACCGTATTCGGGTTCATCGGGCTTAGGATTATTTCAGGGACTATGACTTGTTCGGTTAATTACGGTTTTAGCGGTTCGGGTTTAGCAGGGCCGTGTTTGGCGTTGACACCAGATAGTGGTTAGGTCACAGCAGATGCAGAAACAGCTTATGCAGAAGCCTGGGTAATTAGTTTAACCTGGATAGCCCCCAGAATTCTATTCTGACTATTGACACTCCGATATTACAGTCAGACTCACTAGACTAGAGTCCCTAGAAGCTACCGTGGCCATCCGACACACCGACAGGCGCATCAACAAACCACCGCGACAGTCGCGTATTTTCGAATAGAGGGGCATAAATCCTCCGAGCCCTTTCTTGCCGCAGGCCGAAGTCTCAGACAGAGTCAGATTAGACGCGCTCAAATCCTGAACCCCGGAATTCTTTCTAAATCCTAGGTTTGGGCTTCAGGGGTTCAGGGTTCGATTAGAGCCTTCAACGCGGTATTTCCCTTGGGTTGTATGCAGTTCGGGATGCAGGATTTCGGCGACAGGCATTGCGGATGGTTGCGAGATGTTGTGAGGGGTCTCGACCGTTTTAATCCTGCAGTGTGTATGTTGCGAAATTATTGAATTAGCTCAGTAGCTGGGTGGACGCACTTTACACCCTTTGGGATACTTTTACCTACTATAAAACTGAAAGTGTACACTTTTCTGGGCTTATGAACTCAGCAACTAAGTTAGAGAAGGACGCTTCAGACGGCGATCTGCCGCCAGTCAAGACTTTTGCACTCTCTTCAACCAGCCGTGCTTGTGGGGCAGTGAGGCTAATACCTGCTCTGCATCGCTTAACACACACCCTTTAGCTCTACATATGCTTCAAACCCAACAATCTGGCAGTTGGACAGACATCCATCACTAATCTGTAAGTCCATATGCGGGAACTGCAACCTTGATCCTACACCCGCAATCAACCAAACCCTCAGTCGGCTGTGACGAGAGACCCGGGCTGGTAAGGTGGGCAACTCGACTTCGCCTGTGTGCGGTACTCAGGTGGTGGTGGAAGCAGCCAAGTAGTGACCACAGAACCCTGTTATATTATATTATATGTCATCTGTTTTTGTGAGTGTTTGTGCTGTTGTTATTGCTGTTCTATGACGAGAGCGAAGACGACAACGACGACGGTAGTGGTAGTAGTTGTTGTAGTAGTCGTGGTCGTCGTAGTAGTAGTAGTAGTAGTAGTAGTAGTAGTAGTAGCAGCAGCAGTAGTAGTAGTGGTGGTGGTGGTAGTGGTAGGAGCGGCAGTGGCAGCGGTGGTTTTGTTGCTTCTTATGAATCACCGAGAAGATCGTGGGGCGAGCGACTAGCCAGAGTGATGAAGAAAATAAATGAGCAGGTCGACGACCGTGTTCGTACCAAGGGCGACGATGATTCCTGTTATGCTCATACGGGACGAAATTATCGATGAGGATGGTGGTGACACAAGCAAATCATGATGACATTCCTGTCGATGCCGACGGTGATGTTCTCAATGTTGTGACGGTGACCGAAGCGATAGTCATGGAGTTGGCAACCTTAGGGCTGGGGTGTTATTGTCTTGTTGTGCTTGTTTCGATGATGGCGATCTTGCTGATGACTGTGGCTATGTGCGACTGTATAGACTTCAGTGATAGCGTTTAGGATAATGAAGTTGATGTTGTTGGTACATAGCTTCATCACAATCTATGTATCATTTCCAAGTCTTATGCTGTTTATGTTTTACTTACCCGCCCCTGTGTCGGTCTAGATCCCAAGACCTTAGGCAGGTTGCGAGGCACGAGGTGGTCCAACTCTGGTGAGTGCTGCTGTATCAACAGATGCATCGACTGGAACTGACACAGCAACTACGCATTAAACATACCGGCCGGAGGACTCATACCAAGTACTGAAGTACTAGTATCACTGAAGTAGTTAGTGACAGAGGTACTGAGACTGGCCGGAGCGAAATATGAACCTGTAGTATACTAGAGTATTCTGTTAATATAGTATTTTCTTCTGTAGCATACTAGAATATGGGCGACATCAGCCACTTGCCCTAGTCAGGGAGACTGCTCTACCCGAAGCCCTCGAGGCTAAAGAGTCAGTTCACCCAAAATGTAGGACTGTACGAGTTTATGGGGTTTGCGGTTCGGATGTACCCGGGTGCAGAACAAGTACTCCGTATTCCAAAAGGGCAGCTGCTGCTACTTTTCTACGAAACATCCTCAACGCAACTAGCTACAATATAGTATATCATACTTAAAAGTATAGTGTAGCAGATTATAGGCAGCGGAGATGGTGAGAATGTAGATTGCCACTCACCCTCAGCCCTTGAGCTTGGTCCCAGAAGCCTGCTTTGCTTCAGATGTGATACTAGAGCGTACTTTCAGATACTGTGAGTACACTAGTATACTGCAATAGACTATGTGTTACCATAATACACTTTAGGGGATCGCCTGTAGCATCTCGTAATCTAGTCAAGGACATGATGCGAAATACTATACTCTGCTGTGATATACTGCAATATCCTATACATTGCATGGTGCTCCTTTCAGGACCCATGGCCGTGGGCGGCGAAGGAGTACGGTTGTTCGCTTCGGAGAGCTATGACAAGCGGCTCAAGGCGCAAGAATTAGACTTCAGAAAAGGGCTCTGGGGTATACTATAGTCAGTCTAGCTCTAGAAGGGTTATGATTATGTTCTCGTCTCGTTAGATATGGACTATGCGGGAATTGCATTGCTACTTATGCCAACCCCTGTGCGTGTTGTCGGGTTCGTGAGAACTTGACTCTGACATCTTCTGCCCTTACTCTGCTGCATTGAATACGAAGCACTCGATGGGTTTCAACCGATTCCACCATCATCTGTGAACTGGGACCTATCATGCCAGTCAGTACGTTGACTGAGCGGTCTTGGAGACCGGGAGGGTGCTCCATGGAAATTATTTTCGCATGAGAACACTAGTGGCGCGAGGGAGTGGGTCGTGTCGGTTCCTCAGCCCAAAATCCTGAGCGCGAGATTTTGAAGTAGAGATGCCCGACGGGCCTTGTGGCTGTTGCGTCTCGAACGCTGTATCCAGGTGGGTCAGTTCGTTCAGCGGCCTTGGCAGCAAGTCAGTGGGATACCGGGGCCTTTCTCGGGTGGATTGGACTTTCGGTCAGTCTGGATTGTGACCGTGGCTGCGATGGGGAACCCGACTGTACGGCACTTTCAGTCTGACTCGTCCACCCTAAACCCTAAACCAGCCCTGAACGGAACCCAGGTACTGGTCCACCTCCAAGAACAAATGGATCGATGCCGTCGTGAAAGCGGTGGATGCTACTGGTGCAGTCCAGATCAGTGTGAAGCCGAGGGCCTGGCTGAACCAGCAGGAGCAGTCCACCAAAATTCGGAGCATAGTGCCGTTACTGCAGCTTGGCGTCGAAAGAGAAATTCATTTGTGTCGTTGTTCCAGTTGCATCCCACCAGCATGTTATGGTCAACGCTAAGGCCCCCCAAATCCGCAGAGCCGCACGGCGAGAGTAAGACGACAGAGTTTATCGCCGAATCCTCGCAGCGCCCCGAGAACACCAAGTACACGAATGGCTTCAGCACGAATGGTGTGACGCATCTCGGCCGACAATCGGTTTGTGGATTTAGTTAGACTCCCTGGAAGTGGAGAAGTTTAGCACCAAGGGGTCTCTCTCTCTCTCTATATATATATATATATATTCTATATATATATATATATGGATTTTTCGGAGTATATGACATTTTAGCATAGTATACTATTGTTGTTCAGGGACTGCCCTGCTCAGAGCTTTGATTGAAAGGCTTTGAGGTAGCGGGGCTTTATGGCGACTGAGTTGAGTGTTGCTGCAACCTCGATCCCCAACCCGAAGAACCTGAACAATCCTTGAGAGCGGTACATGCCCCAAATATACCCCAAACCATGCCCCGATATCCTCAGAGTCAGGGTTTGATGGGTTTGGGCTTGAACTCTAGAGGGCCTATGTAAGATTCCCTAAGGGTCCATGTACCCAAATAGTAGAACATTGGCCTTAAAGTACCCATATAGGGACTACATTAAGGCCAATGTTCTACTATTTGGGTACATGGACCCTTAGGGATTTAGAAACCTCAAGCCGCAACCATTGGCCGCCAAGCCTCAGCTCCAGGAACGGCACCAAGCCGCCGGCCGCTGGCGCAGCTGCAGATGCCGCCCAGCGTAGCGACCGCTCCAAAGCGTTGTGGCCTTGGCTTCACGAAAGTTGTTGGTTGCTAAAAATTGGTTGCTACTCTAAGTGTTATTGTTCTGCTTGTCGATGCTAGTAGGGTTGTTGCAGGTTGTTCTTCAAGCATCAGAAGTGTTTTTTACTGCCACTTCATTATGGCAGGTATTGCGAGTGTCATTGTTGCTGTGAATGTTGTTGTTGCTGTTTATGTCATGATGTGGTCAAAGTTACTGTTGCGAGTGATTCGGTTTCAGTATGCGCATTTTTGCAGGACCAACTTCTGCTAGTAACTGCTGCTCTTCACGCTTGGACTCCTGCTGCTCCCGCTGTTGCTTCTACTATGACGACTTCTAGCTACCACTACCACTGCCACTACCACGACGACTACTAATACCGCCACCACGACGACGACTACTACTACCACCACCTACTACCACTACTACTACTACTACTACTACTACTACGACGACGACGACGACGACGATGACGACGACGACGACTACTAAGACTACTACCAACTGCACCGAATCTACCCAAAATAACGCTGAACAACCCTTCGACTGAACAACTAAACACCCTCAGCAGTCAGCAGCAAGCACAGTATGGCGAAACATACGCACGTAATCTGAAATCATCCCTCTCTCCCAACCTGAAACCACAAGCCCCTCAGAGGCGCAATACGCCCCGGACTTCATCCAGAAGTTTCAAACTGTGCATCGTTACATGTCAATGTCGAAACCCACACTTATAGACGATGATTAGTAATTAGTAGACCCCACTCCCACCCACCTGCACTCGGCTCCAATTCTGGGCTCTGGGATCTGTGTGGGGCCTTCGTTATCTGATCTCGTCCTGAATCCTTGGATAAGGTGCTCTATAACAACCCCATTTCCCCGCCCTAACCCTTAGAGCAACTCCAAAACTCTTACAGAACCCATCTCATAAAGCCGAACCCTTATCAAGCCCAGGTATTCTGTGTTCTCCGAGTGGGACTCCCAGCGCCAGGGCATCACCAAGAACTCAGGTCCTGTGGTGCCTGGAAGGACAGGGGGCTCAGAGTGTCTACTCCGGGCTGGTATAGGGTTTAGGCGTAGGGTTCTACTAGACACCAGAATGGCCCTCCATGGGTTGTTGATGGTCCGGAGGTCTGAGGTTGGGACGCGGCGCATCCATACGGCGAAAATAATAACTCAACTTTATCCTTGTGTCTTCCAGAGGTTGCCATCGGATGGAAAGTGGGGTTGGAGTTGAGCCCGAAGCATCTCCCACCGAGGGTGGATCCCGATGTGAGCAGGAGGCTCTACTACTGTCTCCTCTTAGGAGCCTTATTGAGTAAAATCTTGAACTTCGAAACTCCCCCATCAGTTCCTGTCCTGGCTGATAAGAACTTTGCTAGTTGTGCAACTTTCGCCAAACACAGACTGTAAAAATCTGCAGGGAAGCTTGGCCACCAGTGCTCCAAGTCGTCAGCCGCATAGTGCTGTTGGAATTCTTAGTAGATACTCACTCTGATGGCATTGCACAGTTTGTGTGCTGAGCTACCAAGCGCAGATGATGTTCCTGAGAGAGAAATATTCTGATGAGGAAGGTGATAATTATAATAATGGTGAAAATGATCCGGATGATGAGTTTCTAGACATGATGAGGATGATGACCATGATGAAGATGAGCATGATGATCATGACGTTCATGATGATTCTGGTGATGCTGCTGATACTGATTGTGAAGATGATGCTTATGATGGTGTTGGTGATGATGATGATAAAGATGATGATGGTGATGATGATGATGATGGCTACGGCCATGACGACCATGATGATCATGGATTTCTTATGCTGCGGATGATGATGATGATGATGATGATGGCTACGGCCATAACGACCATGATGATCAGGAATTTCTTATGCTGCGGATGATGATGATGTTGATGATGATGATGGCTACGGCCATAACGACCATGATGATCATTAGTTTCTTATGCTGCGGATGATGATGATGATGTTGATGATGGTGATGACGATGATGATGATGGCGATGATGATGATGATGACGACGACGATGGTGATAGTGAGAAGGGGGTGCTGCCGCTATTCTTGCCGCTAATGATGCCATCGGTTGTGATTGTCCTGACGTTGACATGACAGGGCTGGTCGTAGTGGTTTTAATCGCAAAGTCAGCCACGGTGGTACCAGCATGCAGACTAGCCTTGATCGTGACAGCGGCCTCCAGGATTCCTCCATCCGGGCTTCGGCAAGAGCTGAAGGTATTCAAGGACTACTCCCAGCATGTCAAGGGGCCGACAACCCGCCCTCAGTCGTAAGCAGCTTATGATCTTTCTTCTGAGGGTTGTCTTGCTGGCTGAGATGCCCAGCTCGAAATTCCAAAAGATCCATCGACGCACACGTCGCATCCTTTTCCAGGTTAGTTAGTCCAAGCACGAGTAAAGCCTGCAATCAATCCGCCCAAAAACCCTGAAGTGCATTCACACAGCAGCACCACGAAGTACCAACAGCAATTCAACTTCCGTTGAACACTGAAGGCACAGAGAAGCTGCATTCGAGCCCGGATAATATAGCACTCCTTGAAGGATTAGGGCTTGAATGCAATGGGTAGCTCTACAGTCATCAAATAAATAAATAAATAAACAGATATATTTACATATATATATATATATATACACCTACATACATACATACATACATACATACATACGTACATACATACGTAAATACATACATGCATACATACATACATGAGTACACACATACAGACATACATAGATACATTCATATGTTATTTGTTCATAGACTTTAAATATATATATATATATATATACAAATACACATACGTGTGTATACACATAATTTGTATCTGCTTATAAGCCCGACATGTAACTGCAGTATGATAGACCCCGCAAGCCTTTTCCATGTATTAGGCCCTTTTTGTCCGAAGCTTCGAGTTCTCCTAGCATGTCTGCAGGAGAACGAGAAAGACATACGACAATACAAGCTGTTCCTGCTTCAGCAGCCTCAGCGATGCGTGCGTAAGCGCGTCACAAGCTTGCTGTCGCTCGCCCGCACTGGTATGGGTAGCTGGCTGACAGGCACCTCTCCCTAAAACTCATTCTTATCGAGGCTGCACAGGGCTTATTATGGAGCCGCAGCCAATATCAATCATGGTGCTGCATCTTGGTGTACAGCCTTCAGGTTCAGATCCACTTGGCCTTGAGTCGTTTTGAAGCATTGACATAGAGGTTGTTCACCTCAACTGTTTAGTCCCGCAGCTTGATATCCCTAACACCATCACCAGCACCACCACAACGATGACGGTTCGACATAATATAACAAGGTTATAAGAAGGTAGCCATCAAGATTTTAGCAACTCATGGTATTTAGTACTCGCAGCACACCGACGCCTGCGCCAACGAAGACGGCCTGCCAGATCGACAGAGCATCGATGACTGCGGCTGTCAAGCTGGTTTTGTGAAAGGCCAAGAAAGTACACTGTTTTTTGCAGTAGTGCATGCAGTCAGTAGACACGTGTTTGGCAAGAGCGACAGTGGCACGTACAGCATGCGGTCGCACCAGTGTTTGCAGTCGCAACTATGTTGAGGGTTATCTTCACAGCAACCTGCGGTGGTACAAGCAGCAGACTTCGACATGTCCGGAACCACTTGACATTTGAAAAGTGATTGTCCAACGAGATTCCAGAAGGATTCCGATGCCCAAGCACAAGTGCAACCCTCTTGTGTCCCTCCGAGGTGGCAGACGTTTTATAATGTGGTCCGTGAGAAATGTGCCAAACTCCGACAGCAGCCCGACCGCCGGACAAAGGCGGGAGGGCCAGAGCCGAAGCCTTTGACTTGGCCCTTCGGGTTTAGTGTTTAGGGGTTT